TCGTGTCCCGGCAAATACATACCTCCCCACCCACCCCCCACCCCCACCCCTACCCCCACCCCCTCCTCCCTCTACCCACCTTCCGCTCCCTCCCATCTAGGCGAGCTCACCTGGATGTCATTACGCTAATGACGGTTAATGAATTCCGTTTTCAGAATATTTAGCACAAGTTTAACTGAGAAATGCATCGGTATTATCATCAACTCCCCCCCCCCCCCCACGCTCCACCCCCAAGATAACATCTGGTGTTGCGAGGCAGGAGTGAAATCTCTACATATTTCTACATATCTCTACAGATCTCTACATATCTCTATAGATCTCTAAAGATCTCTAAAGATCTCTACAGATCTCTAAAGATCTCTACAGATCTCTAGAGATCTCTACAGATCTCTAAAGATCTCTAAAGATCTCTAAAGATCTCTAAAGATCTCTACAGATCATATAGACAGCATGAAAAATGACGAGATGGTCAAGTTGTATACCACGCGCTTGCTAATCCTAAAGTCACGAGTTCGGATCCCAGGCTCGAAGCCGATCTATCCATTAGGTCCAAATCAAACAGATCGATGATTTAAACAGATCGACAGAGGCGTAGCGACCCTTCCCGGCGCCCGGAGACAAACTTTCAATTTGGCGCCCCCCTCGGGAACAACCTTTCAATTTTCAATTTGCACCCACCCTCCCCCTCAAACTTTCAATTTGCACCCCCCCCCCCCTCGTATATTTTTTTATATTTATAATGCAAAACTGCAGCTAAAATGAGATTTTAATTTGTTTTTACAACCCATTTTGGCGCCCCCTAAGGTCGGCGCCTGGGGACATATGTACCCCCGCCCCCTTGCTACGCCTCTGCAGATTGATATTTAGTTGAAAGGAGCAAAACCCGCGGCTAGTGTTTGGTAACATGGGTGAGAGGAATGCTTAATTTTATTCAAGTCTGTTCAAAAAAACTATATGTTCGTCCATATGTCATTTAACTACGTCAGGCTAAAAGTACTTGTGATAAAAATAAAAAGCCATGCTTATTTTTATATGATGTTCATTAAGTTAATTAAAGTTCTAACACTGAGCTGATGAATGGAACATAATATCATTCAGATCCCATTATGTTGTTTAAAAAAAAGTCAAGCTCCTCTTTCAGGAGCTTAAGATCGATAGGGAAGATAGAGTACAGTTCATATGTTTCTTGCCCAGCCGCTATTATTTCTCCAAAATTGAGTCAGGTACCGATTAGAGCTGGGTGAACACAGGGACATTCTACAGTAGCGAGTCTGGATCAAGATCCGAACTATAGATCTTCATGCTGGTAGCCGAAAGATTTACCGTTCGACCATGCCGACTCATATAATGTAATGTCCGCTCAATGTAGAACTAAAATCTTTTCAAACGGCTGCCGCTTTGAAACTAAAAATATAATTATATTTCACACTAAAGAAGTCTAAACTTAGCTCAATCACCCCCGTGCTTACTTCATCTAACGCATCCACCAAACTGAAGCAAGTATATCTAAACCTTATCATTAAGAACTTCCGTTCGTAAATAGACATTTATTTACCCCACTTTAAAAAAAAACTAATCAACAAGTCAGGTACTAACGAAGATATTTCCAAAGAGATCTTCAAGCTCTTTGATTAGCTTTTAAAAAAATAATTTTTAAAACCTCCATCATTTACCCTATGGCTGGCACAGAAATTGGTAGAAAAAAAAATTAAAGGAGGGTAGAAGTGAAGATCTTTACATCAAAGCGAAATCTTCGAACCGTGACCTAAGGTATGGTTCTAAATTTAATCTAACGCCTCGCACCTCAGCTAGAGTTGTTTTTTTTTTTTTTTTTTTTTTTTTTTTTTTTTTTTTTTTTTTTTTTTTTTTTTTTACACTGATTTTGAGGTCTTCTGTATGCTTCTACGTCATCAGTTCCAGGTATGTTTCTCCCAGGAGGAGGGAGAGAAATGACGTTTTTCCCACAGGTAGACAGTAGGTGTGATGTATTTTTCTCTTGGGGAAGTTATCATGACGGTTTTTTTTTCCCCCACAAAAAGCAATGTGGGTCTACACACTATTGCGAAATTCGTGATTTTTTTAGTATAAGAGTGAAATAAACAGAATTCCCGTGGTTCTGGGGGAAGCTTTGTAAGAGATTAGTTTTCTAGATCGGATCTAGTTCAACAAATATATAGAACCGCATGCGTGGTGGGCGGGGGTGCTGCGCTTGTAAGCAGGGTTTCCTTCAGACGTTTTACCTCGTGGGGGGGGGGGAGGAGGGGGAGGGGATGGAACTTGAAACTTTCTGGGGGGGGGACTAAATTTTTCGGGGTGGCGGACTCGGTAAAAGTATACATGTTCAATATAAATTCAATTTCATGACGGGTGAGGGGTCGACAGACGTGCTTCCCCCTCCCCCCCCCCCCGGATATATATCGATTTGGCTTACAAGTGGCGTCGGGTGTCACCCACCGTGTTAACTGGTGATTTGTCGTGCCCCCCCCCCCCCCCTCACCACTTCAATAATTATGCATTTTCGGTTTAGTGTCTTTTTTTAAAAAAAACTAGAATAACATTGAAAAACATTTGACTACATTTTTGAAAATTTCGAATTGGCGTCACCCACTAAAAGCTGTCGCCTGGTGCGGACCGCACTCCACCCCCGCCTTGTGACGTCAAATCCACATGATTATTAAATTTCTTCGGAGAGCCAACCATATATAAATCTCCGTGATGCCGACCTGGATCACGTGCTTGACCCCATTTAGGCCGAGAGTAATGAGGTGTAATTCCTGCTATCGTCGGGTACCAGGTTATCTGCAGACGAGACTCTGCGAGCTACTAAAACAGCGGGATGCCACCCGTTTCTCACCGGCTGGTGCCACTACTGTCACAGGTGTGGAGGGGGGGGGGTAGTCGTGATGACTGACGCCAAATACAAGGTTTATTTTTGGCATGAGGTGAATAACCTCTGTAGAACGCACGTACTTTAGTTACGGCTTTATAAACGCACGATTCGCTATTCAGGCGGGCAGTACATTCGTTTATTTTAATAGTATGTTTGCACAATAGACCTACTGTTAATAAATCATATGGATTGTTATTTATATGTTTAGAATACTATATTAATGAGTGGATAACTTGGTGTATAAAACTAATTTAGAGTAGCATCCCTTGATGTTTAGCTAAGTCCCTGTATCTGTACTACAACCCAGTCTAGAGCGTGTGTTAAAGGTACAATACAAATACAAAATCAAAAGGGGAACTCTTTTATAATATGTACAAAGAAATATTTAAATATATTTGATACAGTTTATTCAATTAACAGACACAAATAAAAACATGTGATATTTTTAGGATGCCTTATCATCAGTTTCTATTTCAGTGTTGTTTCGTCGTCGTTAGAATCTTCGTTAGCAATTAACAATAGAGTAATTACACCAATTATCCTGCCAAGATGTATGTTTAACAATATTGTTACATACACTTCACATATCAGATTTGGATAATGAAGTGCATATACAGTGTGATAAAATGCATGGACATATAAGCCTACTAAGGCTAATGTGCTCATAGTATTAAAATGCATAGAAATATAGTTTTAAAGTTGAAGTAGAGTGGCCTGCATCAGCTTGCACTGAGTTAATGTAATATGAAAACAGACCATTGAGAAGTAGATCTACATGTAAACTTTTGAAATATATTTAAATAAAGTACAGTACTCAAGATTATGCACACAGAGTAATATAGTACAAATATACATAGCATTGTAGAACAAACATACATATGACTAAAGTAAGAACAGCAGCTAGTGGCATGAACACAGAAATGAAGTACATGAATAGGGTTTGGTATAATATTAAGCAATTGTTATCCTTTTTGACATGCAAGTCAACAGGGCAGATGAAGTAGAGTTCACTTGATTCTGTGACCTTGACTGATGAAAAGATTTTGTGGTCAGCCCTAAGCTCAGTCATCTTTACTTTCCCTAAATGTGAGTCAAGTACTCATCAGAACTAGGTGGACTCAGGTAAGTCCTATAGCTTTGAACCAGGGATCCGAATTCCAGCCTTAAGGTTAGCAGATGTGTGTACTACCTCCTGACCACACCATATTCCTATAATACTGAAACAAATGTACGTTGTATTGATATACAAACAGGACAGATAAACGGGACCAAAGGTATCGAACCATCAAGTTAAATACTATTTTTACCATGTGCCTCGTGTGATCATAAAGAACATAGAACATAAAGATCATAAAGACGGGAACAAAAACAAAAAAATGACTAGCTGCCTCTTGGTACTTAAATCAGGCAGCACCCATCTTAAATTGGCGGCTACCTATGTTAATATAACAATTATTATAACATAACTTTTTCCCTCAAAAGTTAAAAATATGAATTTGTTTAAAAAAAAACATCTTGCTGAAACTTTACCACATACTGTACATATAATTTCAACACAGGCCATCAAAAGACAGTTCAGTTTTTAAAATATAAAATTATATCGAATAACTAAATAATATAAAATTATATTATTTAATTTATAAAATTATACCAAGAATATCATATAATTAAGCTGCATTGCAAATATTTTTTCAGGAATGCAAAAACTGGAAGACACGCTTATAAAGGAGAGATTTCTGAAACATTGATGAAAAATACTTTAAATGCATTTTTTTAGATCAAACTTTCAAACTGTTGATCTGGTAATAAGGGATATAAATGGAAGAAAAAAATTCAGATCTAATATTCCAAGCATTTCCTTACTGAAAATAAGCCAAAATAAACTTTAAAATAGTCAATGTGATGTTGCATGCCAACAAAAATTCAACACTTGTTAGGTTTCAAGTCATTGAAACTTAAGCAGCTATGACCTAAGACCTTTTTGTTTTAGGTCAGGTACTTATAGAACTGTGAAATTGTTTTATATTTACATCATAAAACAGTGCTAACTATATGTCAAAGACTTTTTTTTTTTTTTAAAAACTTTTATTTGTTTTTTTTTTCTTTAGTTTAATTATTTTACTCAAACTACAGAAAAACAATTATTAACTTTTTAAAGAATTAAACTTTAAAAACACATCGACTTTTTATAAAAGATAAAACTAATATTTCTTTTGTATTCTATTTACAAGTAAAATTATGGCTGCATTAAGAAAATGGCTGGTAAGCAAAATGATTTGAACACGCCAATTTACACCATGTAATTCTTGCTGAAGGTGTTGTTTAAGCCTGCTTTTCATCAGTTTTGTTTATTTAATAAACAAACAGAAATCTTCACCACTATTCCCATTGTAAAATTCCTTAATGAATTTTCCATGTGATTAAAAAATTTTGGCAAGGCTAATAAAAATAAACTCTAAGAGCTACCTACCACTGGAGATAACTGATGAAAAATCTAAAAACAAAAAGGTCTTACAGTGTTACCTTCCTTTTAAATTATTCAACAATGCATCACAAGATTTAAAAATAACTTTCTTGTATATTTACATAAAACAACTTTACAACATAGAACACAATATAAAAATATAAAAATAAAACTGTTATCTTAAATCTTTATTTCACACAATTTCAATAGGGACATTAATTTAATTAGTTTTTTTAGTCTATTAAAAAAACTTTTCACAGATTAAAATAATTTTTTTTTACAATAAAAACATTTTTTTTTCCTTCAATTTATTTTTTATCACACTTATTTTGTCAAAATGTAAAATAAAGTCATGCATTGATTTGTATCTTTAACAATTGGTTTCAAGTAAAATAAAAATCCTTAAAAACAAAACAAAAAACAGCTAACAAGATAGAAAATTGTCCTGGCGAGGAAGGTCAATAAATCAGCTGCTACTATATATCATTTAATTACTCATATTTGCCTGCCAAAACTTTTGATCACTAAAAATATGTCCTTTCATGTTGATAGTAGCATTCAATAGCAGATAACTTTAAAAATTTAAGAAACATAAATGTACATGGAAATCTGTATAGGTTTTAGCTGTGTGACAATTGTTAGACCAGAAAATAAAACAACCTAGGCTATAGTCTGTCAACACGTGCTACTCCACTGGCTCAGTGTACACAGAGATGTTTCTCCTCTTCAGTTTTTTCAAGCCAGATGCTTGATTCAATGAACTGTCCGAAGACTCTGTCTCAGAACTGCTAATGAGCTGAGGTTCGTCAGAAATTTCCCGCTTTTTGCCAGGTTGGCGAGTGTTGCTATTATTTCCACTGGCCTCTGGCGATGTGTTTGAGCTGAGGCATAACCCAGAAATTCCAAAACTTGTTCTTTTATTTAAAGAACCTGGAGTAGTATCCTGAGGTTCATGTGTTGGTGTGAGAGATGAGGGGTTTTTAGGGCTAGCCTCATTGTCAAGTATGGGATTTGAATGTGTGGTTTTGCCGTTGTGAATTGGAGAACTAGAGCTTGGGCAATTATTGCTGGTCACTGAATTTGTTGATGAGGGCAAATCGTTTGTGAGGTCGCTTTGTGGTTTTTTGTTTTTTTGAGCAGACAAAATAAGTTGCAGTTCCTCGTCGTTGTCGTCTAGATCAGTGACGACAAAATTTGATTTGATGTTTTTAGCAGGGGTGGATGTGACCATTTGAGAGCTGGGTGATCCGAAAGCGGATACATTAATGGATTCGCTGGCTGAATGGAAACTGTCCCAAGTAGAGGATATGTTAGAGGATGTTTCCATGCTGCTGTCTATAGTGCTGGGCAGATCATCGTCTTCTTCTACTGCATCATCGCCACTGTCCTCCGTCTTATCCGCGTCGTCCACCAACCCAATGTCGCTCTCATCCAACAGCTCCTGCGAGGACTTGCCCACAAAGGTGGCGTTGGGGTCAGTGATGTCCAGCATGGTGCACAGCAGGGTCGTCTGGGGGTTGACCTGAACTGTGAGGGGTGCCCTCGACCTTGAGAAAGATCGTGGGTCGCCCTCAATAGGCGCAGAGGTCTGGCAGAAGTTCTCAGGTAGAGTCATGTCGCCTCCAAAAATCTTTCTGGTCGTTTCAATATCTTCGTCAGATACTTTATAATCGTACCTGAAATTATCATCAGTTTTGTTAAGTGATTTTCACCAACAATTAATAAAAATGCAATAAATATATTAAAATAAGGGTGTTTCCTTATATCTCAAAATGGCACACTCTTAAAATTTTTAAAACTTAATCCTACAACTAGCCCTAGTCTATACAGAGATTCCAACAATGAATAGTGATGTTGACCAGCATTTTTTATTTAAAAAAAACAACAAATAATGCAATATCAAATTGTTTTGTGCTTCTAACCTTTGGCCACACCCAGGACCTGGAACAAAAGTATTTCTAGGAGAGAGACTCAACATGTGATTGGTTGAGTGAAGAATAGACACCCACTCAGGGTCCAGCTTAATCTTTAATCCCTCATCTGAACTATGTGGTATATCCAAAACCTAAAATAAACAAAAGTTTTAAAAAATACATGTGTGAAAAAATGCAAATAAAAAAATAATGTATGAATTTATTTAGTAGAATACAGACTTAAATTACATAAATTCCTAATACAGCTCATGGAATGGTGAGTATAATATAACTTACCTGTAGGAAGTGGCGGCGAGGTAGGCACTTATCAAGAGCTAAAAATTTTGTGGATTTCGCTGGACCCTCACTGCTAGCTGGCTAAACAAATAATTCATACATCGAACACAATAATTATTTAATGGTGGAATAGTTGTAATCTAAATGCTACTCTTATTAAAGATACAGTGATAAATAAAAATTTAACTTTTTTTAGGGAAACAACCAAGGGAAATATTAAACACAAGAAAAGTAACAAGACAGGGAAATCATTATTTTTAGGTTTAAACATTTATTTTGTTCTCTTTCGCGTGTAAGTCATTTGACAAGTTTTACTGCTGGTTAATTATTTAAAATTCTAATTGAAATTTTTTTAACAAAAACAAGAGCACACCAACTTACTGTATGCTCAACATGCGCAGCAAACTTGACGTGGAGATGTGCAGCAAACCAGTATGTAGGCTGCAGGTGTTTCAGCAACTCCAACAGGGGACGTGAGCCAAGCTTGTTGCTCTCTACCTCTTCTCTGTTACAGACACAATAATTGTAGGTTAGAGAAATATATAGTAAATAGCATTCACACACACAAAATTGTATGTTAGAGAAATAAATTCACACATACTTACACGTACACAAAATTATACGTTAGAAAAATCTTTAGCAAAACGCATTCACACAAAAATTGTATTTTAGAGCAATCAACGGTATATATATATATATATATATATATATATATATATATATATATATATATATATATATATATTCTACATTCATCTTTATATTAATATTTTTTTAGTTAATAAAATTTGAAAATTATAATTTTCACAAAAAAATAGGATATAGAGAAACTAAACTTACCTAAAAAAAGGTTTCTTCCTCAAAAGACCAGATGTGTTCCCATGGTTATAGATGCCCTTAGGCCAGTCATGTGACAAGAAAATGTCCACCGGACGAGAAATCTGCTTCAGACGAAAGACTTCCAAGTTGCGGACATGGTAAACACTTTTCTTTGTGTTGTCGTCATAGGGAGGTCTCTCAAAGTGGCCCTTGTTGTAGTCAAAGCCCTTGAAGATGCCAGAAATCCCACCAATTCGCAGGCCACCCACCTGTATCATACCAGCATATCCTGACAACGTAGAACACAGTGCACAATTTAAAAACACTTCACACCATTATGTTTTTTTATTATTGAAACTTGGTTTTTGAAATGTGTTCAATGTCCACATGTACTATTTAACATTTACAAACTGTTACGAAAAGAGATGAGGACAGGGTCGACACTTAAAGAACATGCACAGACAATGATCCAACATAAATCAAGGACAGGACAGCATCGGTTCATTTAATCATTTATTGCACTCAACTGTTACACAAAACGATCTACAATGACCCATAATGTGATTATATGAAAGAGTGCTATTGAATGATAAATCAAAGTGTCTTACCCATATAGTATATGTTGGGGGCCACCCATCCTCCATATGGTAACTCTTGCATGTAGTTTGAAGCCTCATGATTTCCTCCTATAAACACTGTCAGCACTGGTGCTTCCCTTTCTCCATTATAATATCTATAAAACATTACATTCTATTAGAAATATATCAGCTGCAAGGGAATTCTGGAATTTTTTCAAAAGCCTTAACATGGACTTAAGATAATTATTTTATCGAGCTAAGATTTGGTCCCGTGAATGAAAAGATGAGCTACAATACAAAACACGAGCAGAAAACCTATGTGTTTAATCTATGTGTAAGTTTGAGACCTTAAATTTAAGCTATGCCCACAATATTTCCTAGAATAAAACGGTGCTAACTTACTTGTAGAAAGTGTTGAGTTGCTGATACTTCCGCGGAACAGCCATGGCGTCCAGATCATCATAGTTGCGGACAGCTTGAAAATCTCCACAGATCAGCAGTAGATCAACCTTATGGTAAACATAATGTTCCAAAATTATAATGAATTCAGGAGCTGATGCTTTTATGTTTAAACATAATCATTGATGTAAATGAAAATGAGCAAACTAAAAGCATGTAATGTGATTTATTAATCTAATAATATATAATTCTTTACTACATATTTATTCCAACATCAACAATATGGTCTAAGTAACTTAGAAATCTTCAAGCTTGAAATAATTGTTAATGCATTGTAGTTTTATATGTATCCATTTTCTAATGCATTTTATTAACTTTAAAACAAATGTAAAATGTGATTTTATTTTTAAAACTTAACTAGTTTACCTTTATCCCATTTTTCTTTTCAAGCTCAGCTATACTTTCGTATATTTTATCCAGTTCTCCATGGCAACATCCTTCTACTGCTATTTTCATTCTCTATTCTGTAATATAAATTTAGATCATATCGATAGTATCACAATAAAATTCGATCCACAGGTTTAACTTTTGGACTATTTGACTTAAGTACTTAGATCTAGTACTTTGTAGCGTACAGAGTGCAGACTCCGATCTGAATTCAGGGTAATATAGAGTCTAGATTCTAATTTAGATCATATCAATAGACAAAAAAATAATTTCCTAGAAAACTCCAGATGCCAGATTTCTTCATTCTAGAATTTTAGATTGAGTTTTAATAGGGTTGTCGGCATCCGCCGAGTTCGCGGTAAAAACATGACCCGAAATCGCCCATTACTTTCTGATACCGGACCCACGAGATTTGGTTTTGCATACTAATAAGTTTTTAATTTATGGTAATTAATTAAGTTTAAAAGGTCATTTCCTAAGGTTAATTAAAAAGTAGAGTGGTTGTCCCTTAGTTTTAATGGCTTTGCGACCTGATTGCATGCTGTCTCTGCTTTGGTCTTCCCTCTGTATCAAGGTTAGTTTCAAATACGTTGGAATCTCGATTTTTTAAAAGATTCCTCTAGATGAGAGTAGATTACTGATCAGACATATCTTAAGTAATTGGAAATGAAATTTGTTTTTGGATATTTTGACTCCGACATTAGTTATACCCCTCCGAACGTAGTCACTGTATGTAGGTCACGCTGCCACCATTGTTATATTTTTTCATCCCGATCTTCCTGCCTTTAAGTTTGATCAACTAATAACAGCATTCTTATGGCATGTGCAAACAAATCTAATTTTTTATTTCAAAATATATTTACATACCCATCTTTAATTTTTTCAGCTCTAGTTCTAGTTTTGCAGAATATGTTTTTCCTAAAAATCCAATTTTGTCAGACTAGACTCTAGACTGACAAGAGTCAGACCTAGATCTAGGTTACCTGTCTGTTGCTATACACTAGCATTGTGCTAACTGTAATTTTAAGTATTCAAGTTCTACTTACCCTTAGATATAGTTATATGCTGAAAATCAGAATCCATACACAATTCACACATAAAAACATTGATCTGATAACTTCATTTCACTTATTACAAAATGGCTTTTATATGGACTCTACTTCACCTGCCCAAAATAACAAGGCAGTTATAGACACATTACAGTGTTCAAGTCATTTACTTTAGATTTCTGACTATGGAGTTCTTTCATTCACTGTATTTATATAAAATATTGCTTTAGAAACATTTTCATATTTGCGCAGCAGTTTTATAACAAAATGGCTTAAAGATGGACTCTACTTCACCTGCTCAAAATAATGAGGCAATTATATGCACATAACAGTGTTCAAGTCATTTACTTTAGATTTCTAACTTTGTAGTTCTTTCATTTGCTGTATTTGTATAAAATATGGCTTTAGAAACATTTTCATATTTGCGCAGCACACAGTTTTTTGGGGTTATGGGAGGAAGCCAACACAAAAATATAAGTTCTGTATTATTTTTATTAATTTCAACAGCATTTACAAGTTCTATATATCATTCTAGTTAAACTCTGCAAATATGAACAAAATACAACTGCAAGTAAAATAACTATGCTCAATTTATTCAGGTATACCATCAAATACCATGACTTGTCACAACTGGCCAATGCAAAAGCAAGGGGATTCCACCCCTCACAAAAAAACTCGCCAAAAAAAAACTATTTGAGCTAGACAGAAAATCTTTTTTGTTTTGTTTTCATATAGATCTAGATCTAGTTGAGCTCTAACTACAAGAATATGTAATTTTTATTTTTATATGAATATATGATGATTAGGGTAAAGGAGGGCGTTAAGAGCCACACTTTTTAGCACCTGTACATTTTTAAAGATTTCTACTAATCTAAGAATTTTTTAGTATTGAAAGTATGGCAAAATTATTCTAACATATCTTACTCAATATAAAAATAATAACAATGTCTATTAAATATACTTTAAATGGGATTAATTGAACATTTATTGTCATACCCCCGAAATCAGCATTTGGGGTGAAAGGAGCCGTGCAATGGGGCAATAAGCATTATCTCCTAGTTTAGACTAACTCCGCAATAAAAATAATTAATTTCTAACCCCAAAATAGTTAATGCTGTGTACACACACTTTAACTGATACTAGCTATCACTAGGCCCCAATGGGCCCAGTCTACAATTGATACAATTGCAGGTGTACATAAGGCCTACAGTCTAGTTAAGTCTAGTAGTTTACAGTAGGCACATTCGTATGCCTAGTGTGTAGCTAGTATACTAGTGTGTAGCTGTCCAGAGTTAACATTCTTGTATGTAAAAAGGGGTGGTACTAACTAATCTGCCTTAATGCTTTCCCCTGATAGCCATGTGTGCTATACATTACATAACATGACATGGAGGTGAGAAATGTTGAGGGGAGAGCAGTGGTACTGGTTTCCCCTTTGTTCTCCTTGCTGGACCCTGAGAGCCATAAATTACATAAGGAGTCTTAGATCTCTGGTTGGCTGAGATCTAAGAACTGTCCATGTTACCTACAAAGAGATAAGTTTTATGGTGGGTTAGATACAGGTGGGGGCTGGGTATCATGGGGGTGAGAAATTGTGAGGGGAGAGCAGTGGTACTGGTTTCCCCTTTTTTTCTCCTTGCTGGACCCTGAGGGCCATAAATTACATAAGGAGATGCTATCTCTGGTTGGCTGAGATCTAAGAACTAAGTCCATGTTACCTACAAAGAGATGATGTTTTATGGTGGGTTAGATACAGGTGGGGTCTGGCTATCATGGAGGTGAGAAATTGTGAGGGGAGAGCAGTGGTACTGATTCCTCTTTGGTCTCCACCCTGCTAGACCATGAAGGTCTTATATTACATAACATGCACCCCAGATTGTCTGAGATCTGTAACTGTAATCCATGTTACATACAAAGAGATAAGTTTTATGGTGGGCCAGAAACTGGTGGGGGCTGGGTATCATGGGGGTAAGAAATTGTAAGGGGGGGGGGGGGGAGCAGTGGTATTAATGTGCCTGTTAACTTCCCTGCTGGACCTTGAGGGTCCTAAATTACATAACATACCACCCCAGATTGGCTGAGACCTAAGAACATTTATTCCTGTTACCTACAAAGAGATTAGAAGTTTTATGGTTGGTTAGAAACAGGTGGGGGCTGGGGGTAATAAGTATGTGTACCATTTTAAAAATTACCTGGCTAACATCAGATGGCTGAATTTTTACTTTTTAGCAGGTTAGAATTGTATTTCTATCAGTTAGACACAAGTCTGTTTAACAATTAATATATTTTATGTTAACTATTCCTAAACCAGTGTCATATTCAGTGGTCTATTAAATGAGAAACTTGCACATAGGGTATCAAGAGCCACATAACAGTATCTGTTATAACTTTTCTGAACAGGCAAGCTAGTGGACAAAATTAATGTATTCATGTAGATTTAGTTATTATCTAACAAATAAAACCATTATGGTAATGATCAGTCAAATTTTACTCTGATAATGATAAAAACTTTATAGCATGGTAAAATGGGACAAATGTCGGCCATTTTGTTTTGGCACCAATAATCACTGTGCAAAAAAAAATTCACCAAAATAAAACTATTCTAGCCATAGCTATAAAAATAGTGTTAAAATGTACAACAACCAATGCTCTAATACAGGAATGAAGAATGGGCTTGAAAAAGTCATTTGGTTTATTACAAAGTTAAGTTTCCCAAGTTATGTCTATTTGGAAAAAAAGTTCACAAAATGGTTTTATGGAGATGAGAAATTTTAGGGAAAGAGCAGTGGGATTAAATCCTGTCTCATTCTCTCCCTATTGGGCCAAGTGGGTCTTAAATTACATAAAATGAATCCTCTGCTTCTCTGTTATCAAAGAACAGCAGTGGTTGTTACATCAGAAGTAGATTAGCAGTGTTATTGGGGGTTTTGTGGGGGTGGGGTGTTGATTGGGGCTTAATACCACACGGCTCTTAACGCCCTCCTTTACCCTAGTGTTTTTTTACCTAAATCCCTAGTTTTAAGGTCTAATTATATTAATAATTAGTAGGCCTAGGACTATTAATTCGGGCCTAGAATCTAGATCTAGTTGGTGTCTAGTGGTGTCTCTGGTGACTGTCAGTTCAGTGAGACAGATAATCAGCTAAAACACTGGGCAGGCAGTTTCATTCATCACGAGTGTCATCACTGTGTTTTGTGTTTTACCACTGACACTGCTGTTTTACTAATGAGATTAGTATTTTCCTCAAGTCTAACGTTTTTAAATTAAATTTCTTACTAATAATAACGTAGGAAGTTACAAACAACTTACATTTAGTCGGCATATATTTAAAATATAATGAAAGAAAGCACCTTCTCAAGCCTTCAAGTTATTTAAAACTTACGTGAGGGCTAACAAATTGAAATTCGGTCTCACTAATTGTCAAAAGATACAGGTTTTTATCCGTTTGTAAACAACACAAAAACAGCGAAGTAATATATTAAGAATTAATTTAGACTGCAGCTAATTTTTTTTAAGGAAGTGGCTATTGGGACCCGGGTCCTAATAGCCTCGACCGCTATTGGGACCCGGGTCCTAATAGCCTCGGCCGCTATTGGGACCCGGGTCCTAAATAGCCTCGGCCGCTGGGACCCGACATTAAGTTCGATAAGCACTTGTACAAGCTGTATTAAAATTATACCTTTTATGTTTATTTGATTTTTCTTGTGGATTTGCTCGTATTTTGTTGTCTTTTACTGTAATTAGTTATGCGGATTATGTAGCGTTAGTTCTTGTGTTGGTATTTCTAAATACCCTATATTTAGCTATATATACAAAAGCATTAAATACTTAGTTATTATCCTAAGACGTCATGGTCGAGTAGAAAACGCAGTACCTCCCGCATCTCGATCAGTTACGGGATCGGGACCTATCAAAGCTTTCGTTTTTGCGTGAATTAATGTGTATTTATCTAAGTCTAACATTCCATTGAGTTGTTTGCATAAGTGTCTTTTTTTTAAATTGTTTTTTTTTAAATAGATTATATTTTTTTTTCTAGATTTAGGTTTTTTAAACACGCCAATTAGGCCCTATAATCACATCGTTGCTCCATTGGTCGCCCACTCGCGTTTTCTGGTCAGCGCAAGAAAAATACCGACACGGTCTAGCCAGGGTCACTGTGAGTTCACTTTGGTTTAGATGTGAACAGTGTAGGCGTATAGCATACGTCATAGCCAGACCATTGATATGAGCTTGTCGAGATTTGTCGTCGCCGTAGTCCCCCCCCCCCCCTCCCCACCCAGCAAGAGGGAAAAACGGATTTGGGGTCATTGTGAGTTCAAATGTTACGTATTGCTTCTATTAAAGCGTACTTCAACGCATGCGAAATATTCGTGTTCAAGAAAACGGACCCGGGAGCTGTAGCCTATATGAGCTATCTTATACTATATATACTATATATACTATATATATATATATATATATATATATATATATATATATATATATATATATATATATATATATATATATATATGGACGGATAGACATATGAAATCAAATTACGTTTAACAGAAGAATAAGAAATAAAACACATTTTTACATGCGCGCTCAACATTCGCTCGGCCATAGAAGTTTATACCATAGGCCATAATTAGACCTAACGACACCCGCTCATCATAACATTTGTCAGTAACAGAGTTTCTTCCAGGCATCTCTTCGGGGGGGGGGGCGAAGCCCCCCCGAAAAATTTTTACCGCCCCCCCCGAACGAAATGAAATGTATATAATTTATATAGAAAATATATACTTTTAACAGTGTCCGCCCCCCCGAAGAAAGTTTACCGCCCCCCCGAAGATTTCCAGTGCCCCCCCGGAGAAAAAAGTCTGGAAGAAACACTGGTCAGTAATGATATCGGGTATTTAAAGCACGATCTCAATATATCATTTAAAATTACAAGGAAAAAAATCACAACAGAAAAGTTATTAGATCTATAATCTATATATTCTGCATTTTAAAAGAACTTTTGTATAACTAAATCTAAACAATTCTATTGGCTGGTCCCAATAGCGGCCGAGGCTATTAGGACCCGGGTCCCAATAGCGGCCGTGGCTATTGGGACCCGGGTCCGAATAGATGCATCCTTTTTTTAATGATAATTGATAATTAATACAGTGACACGATTCAAGTAATTAGGAATAGTTGGTAGAGTTAAATAAAAGAAGTGAAAAAGAAATTGTCCTTGTAAGTTTCAGAAACTACGGAAAATATAAAAGTACAAAATTAGGAATTTTGACAATAATCGTTACTAGTGGATAGAACTAGAATCTATCAGTTTTTAAAAGCTGGTAATTTACCGTGAAGTTAAAATATATAATGGTTCAGCGTTACATGAAATAACAAGAAAAAACATCATGATTTAACTAACTTTACGCTTAAAACTACATACTATATTACTATTACTATAAATAGTGAGTTCATAAATTGAATTGAGTTTAAATGTAACATACCGGCTCGAAGATAGCTAGCTAGGTTAATAATGTAGACCTATACGTGTAGAAATAAAATATCCTTAGCTTGGTTAAGAACAACTCTACTTTCGGTCAGCACTTTTTAAAACAGAATTTTTGACTTAACTTATAAGCATGGTTTAAATCACTCTGGGCAGTCAACCGTAACCTTCTTATCCTTTCATTGTCGTCTGTTCGGTCATGCGATACTTTGTTATCTTGCCTTGCACCACCTGGGATTAATGAAATCGGCTTTGATGGTTGTCTCCTCACTAGATTAGCGTGTCCTTCATTCATTAGTCCCTATTGTTAAAATATGGTTAGGTCATTGTCTCCTACTAGATCAAAGTGTCCTACATTAATTAGTCCCTATTGTTAAAACATGGTTAGGTCATTCACCATATCGGTGTCCTACATTCACTACTCCTTATTGTTAAAACATGGTTAGGTCATTGCCTCCTCACTAGATCAGTGTCCTACATTCACTATTCCCTATTGTTAAAATATGGTTAGGTCATTCACCCTAACAGTGGCCTACATTCATTAGTCCCTATTGTTAAAACATGGTTAGGTCATTGTCTCCTCACTAGATCAAAGTGTCCTACATTCATTAGTCCCTATTGTTAAAATATGGATAGGTCATTCACCATATCGGTGTCCTACATTCATTAGTCCCTATTGTTAAAATATGGTAAGGTCATTGTCTCCTCACCGTATCAGTGTCCTACATTCATTAGTCCCTATTGTTAAAATATGGTTAGGTCATCCAATCATTGTTTCTTCACCGTATCAGTGTCCTACATTCATTAGTCCCTAGTGTTAAAATATGGTTAGGTCATTGTCTCCTCACTAGATCAAAGTGTCCTACATTCATTAGTCCCTATAGTTAAAATATGGTTAGGTCATCCAATCATTGTTTCTTCACCATATCATTGTCCTACATTCACTAGTCTCTATTGTTAAAATATGGTTAGGTCATCCAATCATTGTTTCTTCACCATATCATTGTCCTACATTCACTAGTCTCTATTGTTAAAAGATGGTTAGGTCATCCAATCATTGTTTCTTCACCATATCATTGTCCTACATTCACTAGTCCCTATTAGTAAAATATGGTTAGGTCATTGTTTCTTCACCGTATCAGTTTCCTACACTCATTAGCCCCTGTTGTTAAAATATGGTTAGGTCATTGTCTCCTCACTAGATCAAAGTGTCCTACATTCATTAGTCCCTATTGTTAAAATATGGTTAGGTTGACTCTAGTCAGATTTCTTCAATAGTTTTAACGATGTATTTGACCCCTCAACGTAATCACATAAGATGGTTACATGTGGAGGTATAAAAACACAAACGTTTATTTTAGTTAACAACACAAAATATTTGATCAACAAATCAGATTATCGACATTTTCGGTTCATAATCGGAGGGACTATAATTTGTCTGTGTGTGTGTTTTGGAATGGTTCGTGGCCAGAGTCTCTTTCATGAATTTTTTCGGACACCCCCCCCCCTCCCCCTCCCGAAGCACACTCATGTTTTTTAGCCTACTTTCTTGCTGCACTTTTGGTAGGGAATTGGGAAGATTCGGGGGTTGAGACATGAGTTTAAATTACAACAATCTTAGAATAGACAAGAAAAGGCAAATTCTTTTTCACTAAATGGGTTCTGATTGGCAGAACTAAGCTTGTTTGGCTGGTAACCTGGGAAAAAATAAAACTTCCCTTTTCGAACCTGACGGTCCATGGGGCAAGTGAAGTAGAGTTCACCTGTTTCGGCCTATGAAGGAATAGTGTGGTTAGCGCCACCGGTACCCATCGGGGTTGACTCAGAGACGGTCTGCTGACTTGAAACCAGATTCGAACTCGAAACTTACGGTTTAGAAGTCCAGCTCTCTACCTCTAGGCCACTCCTTCTTTTACCAGTACCCTGGAAATTTAAGTCTGCGAAAGATTAACCTTACCCCCCCTCCCACGGAGAAATTGTCTGAAAAAAACACTGTTGGTGTTAAGGTAGGAGGAGGGATGTTTGCCTATTTAAAAAAACACACACACACAAAGAGTCTGTATAGGAATTTGACTTAATTTTTACTTTCTCGTATATACGTAGTATGGGGGATTTTTACAAATCTCGACGTTTTACACCTCACTGATACGGAAAAACATAATTTTGCAATCTTGTCCGTATGTCTGTGTGTCTGTCTGTCTGTCTGTCTGTCTGTCTGTCTGTCTGTCTGTGTGTCCGTGTGTAAACACGATAACTTGAGTACCGTTACAGCTAGGTTGATGAAATTTCATATATAAGTATTTTATCAAAATCGTAGATCCGTATCAACTTTTAAGCGATTTCCGATAACCGGAAGTGGTACTTTTCCTACTTTGAATTTTTCAAAAGCCTATAACTTGAGTACTATTTCAGATAGATAAATGAAATTTCACATGTAAGTAAAAGATCTAATTCTCTACCTTCTGTTAAATTTTGAGTAATTTCCGTTGACGGGAAGTACTAATTTACGCTATTTCCGATTTCTCAAAAACGCATCTAAATTTATAAAGTACTAATAATATTGCGCACCATTATGAAGATCTTTATTCGGCGTTCGCTTGGTGTGCAATACTTTTTTCTATGAGATTCTATTTTATTTTTAAAAGTTTATGTATTTAAAATTGATTAAAAATCATAACTATATCCCGAGTTCCCATCCCCTGTTGTTTTATATAAGAATATTCGAGAAAGTTTAGGGGAGATCACTCCCGGTTTATTTTATTTGGATTTGCTCTCTCCTAGATGTGTTGCTATCCTTGGCTATCATGCCTCGAGGATTCGAACTGGATTTTTCGGTTTAGCAGACATGAGCTTTACCGTTTACCAACCCGACCACGGCATACGAAAACATTTAACACTTAATGTTTAGTCTTGGGTTAGAAGAATCTGTGTCTGTTATATTTATTAATATTTGAAATTTAATTGCACATCCATATGGGAAAAATGATTTCATTAAAACATTTTGAAAGGAAATGATGTTTTTACGTAAATAAAAAAAATTGCTTCCTTGTTATTCATCGTAAGTTATGATATAAAAAGCAATAGACATCAATTAAAAATACTTAAAATCAATTAAATTTCATCTGAACTATGGACATCAACCACGTACTATAAATGAGGCGTTGGCTTCAAACCGTTTTAATTTTAACATCGTGTTCGCTCACCACAGCACAAGAGGACGGCGCGCCGACCCTCTGTCCGAATCACTGCTCATGTTCGCTAGAGGGGGAGAAATACATTGTCGACTGCAGTGACAGGAACTTCACCACGGTGCCGCCCCTGTACGGGTTCGAAGATCTTGGGGAGTTTAAAGTCTATTTTTACTTAAACAAAAACAAATGTAGCTACATCCTGCGGAATTCGTTTTACCCTGTTATTGGCCGGCTGCGGTTTTTAGAGATGACATCGAATAAACACAACATTGAAGTCGCTGTTGGAGCATTCGATGCGTTTTCGGATAGTCTGGAGGTGTTGAAAATCGGACCTGTTTCCGGAGAATTTGACCAGTTTTACAAATCAATCTCCAAAACGTCTTCTCTCGTGGAGTTGCATATCCGTTCTGGTTTGAAACATCCACAAATCCTAACAACTCCATTGGATTATCCGCGGTTGAAAAGTTTTACATTACATAGCTCTCAGCTCCAGGATATTAATTTCAAAGTCTTTGACTATGTCCCGTTAAGAGCTTTAAGGCTTTATGACAACAAGCTGAACGACATCCCGAAAGAAGTCTCAAGGCTCATGTCTGCGACGTTGGAGATCTTGTCCTTGAGTCGTAATAAAATAACACAAATCAAAGATGCCCAAATTCCTTATGGCTGTAAGCTAATGTTTCTTGATATCAGCTACAACGAGGTTGTGTACATTGAAGAAGGCGTACTAGAGAGATGTAACAATCTGAAGCTACTGAACCTCTCGCATAATTCAAATCTACATGAAATAGGTCCGAATGCGTTTGACGGTCTGAGAGGAATCGTTATAGATCTAAGCTTCACCAGGATCAGACACATCGACTTCATCGACCCCGAGCAGGTCAAGATGTTGAGACTGACCAGCACACACATAGCCTGCAACTGTGAGCTACAGGTCAAGGTTATACCACCATTCAAAGACAAACTTAGAGGGACTTGTCGGCTGCCTAAGGAACTCAAACATTTCCCTGTCGACTGGGACCTCAATCTCCTTAAGCTCAACTGCACTGAGTACATGAAAATACAAAAACGGAAACGGTTAACCGATGAAGGATTCAAATCTGTTATTCCAGAAGATTTCAGTCAATACTTTGAAATGATCTCAAAATTCGTTTTTAAGGGTAAACAAAAATCAAAAGCAGAACTCAAACAAGCTCATTCCGCGTCGTCTGCATCCCCTGGATATCCCGACAGTTTAAGCTCATCATTCGCTTCCATCCCAAACTCACAAGTAGATGAAGATGGGACTTCAGAAACGGTCACTCCTTCATTAGGGACATTACCTGAGTCACAACAGACACCTGGTGAAATGTCGTCATCGGCGTTAAAAAGATCTAAGATGAATTTAATGAAGTCAACACCCACCGCAAAACGAGGCACACACCGGCATAAAACATCACCAGTACTGAGCACAACAAGTACTCTACACCAACACGCCAGCCAGGAGTACCACCCCCCACATCCAGAACCTAGCACCGTGGCTGATTCCTACAATAGAGAAGAAAAAGGATCTAAAGAAACCTCCTATCAAAACACGCAATTACGCAAGAGAAAAAATAAAAACAGCAATGGCAGGAATAACTATAATGAAGTTAACGTTGAAAACATGCAGAAACACGAACACAGCAGTACAGAAGACTCCTGCCCGAAAGAACGTTTTGAGGATTTTGTACAGCCTATAACTCACGTGTCGTCACTGCCGACAGTTCATCAAAGAGTCAGAACTCAACTGGTACAGGAAGGGACCGTGAAGCCGACTAATCCCGCAACGAAGAAACACGAACGTAGCAACAAGAAACCTCTACAGAAACCTCCAGAGAAGAAAAGCCCAAAGAAAACTAATCTTCCCCAGACAAAATTGCCTCTTTTGAAGCAGAAAGTAGCCGCCAAACGCCCGGTTAAAAAGGAAAACGAAGAAGTTAACCGTTGGTATTTTAACTGTCCGCTGTCGGTGTTGGCGTGTCTAGTCCACGCTTTTTTAACATTCGCTGCGTTTCTAACAATCGAACACGGCACGAAAACAAAACGTCTGACGTTAAGTTGCCCACTTCCGTCTCCAGCGAAGGAAACCATGATAGAAACACAAACACACAGAGAAACGAAAGGAAAAGTACATAAGACGCCACTCGCATCAAAAGCGAAACAAGAGTTGTTTAAGTTACCAATCCTCCTTTCTAGTGAAACAAAATGTGGTCAAGATGCCGATAGTAAAAAGTGATGCCTTTATGAAACACCTCGCACCTTCTTTAAGGAACAAATACAACATTTATTAAAATGACATACATATTTTACTCAATATAACAAATAAACACTTTGCTATAATATAAAATTACCTATTTTCTGATGTTCATTTTTTAAAGTAGTCACATAGATACAAAAAATATCTTTTCCTTTTTGTGCCATGGACATATCTAGGATCTCCTACAATTATCCTGGCAGTCCCCCATGACAGTCCTGCCTCTGCCAGATGCTTCTCCGTCATGCGCCTCCACGCCTAGGCCTCCCCCCGCCCCCTTTCCTTTTCTTGAGATGTCCAGTTTAGCGCCATTCCTACGACATCATCTGGATTCATTTAGGACGTGCCCCACCCAGCGCCATCTTCTTTTTCTGATTATTTCAGAAACTGCTTCCATCTCCATCTCTTCAAGTAGCTAATAATTTTAGATGGTGTAAGGCTAGTGGATGCCTTTTATCGTTCGCAAGCACAAAAAGAATACGTTAATAAGATTAAAAAAGCACTTTAAAAAACATGACTGGTCTAGAGTTCACGCGAGGATTTAGAAATCAAAGTCAAAAATCAAGTCTGGTTTAAAGAGAAAAATAATAGGGCTGCGAATGTAAGTTACGACTGTCTATACATGTAGGTATAATTTATTAAAAAAACTCAAATATACTGTTCAATTAGCCAGTGTGAATGAATATTACTTAACAAAGACAATATTCTTGAATAAAAGTTTCAAGACAAAACCTACAGAAACCAAAGAAAAAAAAGACAAAAACAATATGTACAATTTTCTGAGCTAAATTAAATAGATTATTGAGCCAATTAATAGATTAAAGTGATAAATAAAATTTCATGAGATAAGCACCACATTTATGGATTGATGTTTTTTTAATCCTTAACTAATCGCAACAGAATCAGATATGTCCCTAAAGTAACGATGTCATAATCAAATTAAATTGATAAGGGGTATGTGGTATTTAAGGTGAATAAAAAATACTGGAAACTTCATATCAAATACAAACAAAAATGCATCTAAAACCACATCCCCCCCCCCCCCCCCCAAAAAAAAAAAAAAAAAAAAAGCCACTTGATATTAAACCACTGTTTTGAATGGGAGTGCGTTTATTACTTTAAGGGGGGGGGGGCGAATTAAAAAAATTCGGGAGTTATATATATATTAATTATATATATATATATATATATATATATATATATATATATATATAATCTAAGGAGGTAATATATATATATATATATATATATATATATATATATATATATATATATATATATATATATATATATACATATATATATATATATATATATATATATATATATATATATATATATATATATATATATATATATATATATATATATATATAATATACGTATATATATATATATATATATATATATATATATATATATATATATATATATATATATATATATATATATATAATATACGTATATATATATATATATATATATATATATATATATATATATATATATATATATATATATATATATATATATATATATATATTATATATATATAATTCTCTTCATGGAGACCATAGAAAACACCAAGCTGTAAGCGCGCCTAGCAGCCCCCCTCTCTTCCTCTCTAGGCATATCCCTACCACCCCCACATGGTCTGGTGAGCTGTGGTTCACGCTAAATGTTTACAATCGTAGAGCCGGGTTTAGTGACGGCTATTAGGGGCAGATAATTTAGTTTGAAACGGTTTTAAAACTTAGGGGAGGTAACTAAGAGGAGGCTGCTTTCCCGGGGGGGGGGGGGGGGTGTAGGGTAGGGGTTGGGGGAAAGGAGATTAGGGGGGGGGGTATCGTCCTTAACGACCTACTGATAGTGTTTTAAAGCAAATATTTTCAGTGGCAGCATTGGTACTGTCGAAATTCACAAATTATGAATTACTGAAATTTAGAAAATAAAACAACTAAATAGCGGCATATGATACGCCGCGGGTCGGCTCGTATAATATAATAATTATTTTTGTGATACGGATATACAGGCTCACGAGTCTACCTCCCATAAGCCAGACAGGCCTCGAAGTAGCGAACTCCGACTAATTTGTTTAAAGATGCCGGTTTGATCGCTACATGTTATTTAAGAGTGACCAAACTTGCCGTAAAACATTATAAAGCTGATATCTTTGTGTACAGATTTAACAATCTGATATGGCCACTCTTGTATCAGTCCTTTACACTTTTAAGTGAATGAGTCAGTTTTAGAAATTAAGAATCATAAAGTTGATCATTATAAAAATATTTTAAAATATTTATAACATTTATAATAATATTTGTATTAATAATTATATAGGCATAAATAAATAAATAAATATATATATATATATATATATATATAACCATATATAATATGGTGCTAATATAATTTCAGTATAGCTAAAGCTGTAACATGCACACAAAAAATAGGTCGATAATCAGCTGACCCAGATATGCACACTAGATGACGCAGGCAGCACACTGCAGTGTAAACACACTAGACATGCTGCAACTCTGCTAACAACACATCGTGTAAGTTTCACTTTATTTCTGTGTTGTTTGGTTAGTTTCTTGTCAATTTCTTGTGAGTTTGGATATCTGAACACATATAAATAGTAAATAGTGAATGTGGTGTTTAGCTAGATAACACAGAGGCTTTTGTTAAAAGAAAATTCGTGAACAAATATTTTTAACTCGTCTATGATGGTGTGTTGTATTTTCTATTTGTAAGCACAGAAGAATTTTCAAGGAAAGTGAAGTTAACGTATCTGCTTCTCTAGAGGCATATAGGACTAGACAAATAGGACTAGACATATAGGACTAGAGACATATAGGACTAGACATATAGGACTAGACATATAGGACTAGACATTTAGGACTAGAGACATATAGGACTAGAGACATATAGGACTAGACATATAGGACTAGAGACATATAGGACTAGAGACATATAGGACTAGAGACATATAGGACTAGAGACATATAAGACTAGACATATAGGACTAGACATATAAGACTAGACAAATAGGACTAGAGACATATAGGACTAGACATATAGGACTAGACATATAGGACTACAGACATATAGGACTAGACATATAGGACTAGAGGCATAAAGGACTAGACAAATAGGACTAGACATATAAGACTAGACAAATAGGACTAGAGACATATAGGACTAGACATATAGGACTAGACATATATGACTAGATATATAGGACTAGAGACATATAGGACTAGAGACATATAGGACTAGAGACATATAAGACTCGAGGCATATAGGTCTAGAAGCATATATGTATATATATATATATATATATATATATATATATATATATATATATATATATATATATATATATATATATATATATATATATATATATAACGAGCTCATCTGTTAAAATTATCTTGGCATACATTGGCATAATGTGGTCAGCGCTATGCCCAGCCGTCCTTGTTTCCCTAACCTGAGTTAGGTACCCATCAGAGTTGAATTCAAGCAGTCTAGCACTTTACCTCTAGACCACGCCGTCCCCATAAACATATTTAAGTAAACAAATGTAATTAAAGTTTGCAAATTCGGAATATTCAAAGCAACAGACTGGTGTCTCTCTTCCCTCCCCCCCCCCCCCCCCCCCGCGCGCGCTCAATACACAGCTTACAACGAAAGAAAATTGTTAAACGTGCGATTTGTTTTTGTTGTATACAATATTGCACGATCTCTTTGACTACATCAAATATCGACGTCTTTAATTTGAATTTGATTATTTATGCAGCTAAACTTCTGTTTTAATATATTTACATTTTTTTTTTAAACAGAGCTATGTCGTCTTCAATAAGAGGAAATCTAAACA